AAGTACTGTCGCCAATTAACCAATCTGAATCAAGAAATCAAACAGAAACGTCCGATTTTGTCAAATCGCAAGGGTGTAGTCTTTCACCACGACAACGCAAGACCACACGTTTCGAGACAGACTCTGCGCAAACTGAACAGCCTGCAATGGGATGTCCTAACTCATCCACCGTATTCTCCTGATATCGCACCTTCTGATTATCACTTGTTCTGGTCATTGCAAAATCATTTAAATGGAAAAAAATTGACTCTTCGGATGCCTTAAAAAACGTCGTGTCTTTGTTCTTCGAATCTAAACCGCGCAGTTTTTATGATCGGGGCATCCGTATGCTGCCAGAACGTTGGAAAAAGATTGTAGACAACGATGGAGAATATATCATTGATTGAATAAAGAACTTTGTTTGCCTAATCACTGTCTGACTTTTACTCACAAACTCCGCATGCGCTTTTGCACTCACCCAATAATTTTACCGCGGTAAAGCTTATCGCGTTTTATATGGCTTGCTGCGTTTAATATGCAACTTAACGTTCCTAATTTCGTCTATAAAAGATCCCGAAAATAGGGCTAAATGTTTGTTCTTCGTTTAATTTATTATTTCATTCTGCTACTTTTGAATAACGTAAAAAGTCATTTCAATTATCAATGAATTAGGTAGTGGATTAGGCATATTGCTAATACCATTAAAAAAAAAACATGTCAACAAAGTACCTCATCCAAGACGTGGAAACAAGTTCATGCGTCGTATGTTATTGAGTCTTGCACGGCTCGCGGGCTGCGCGCAGGGAAGACGGTCGAAAAACAGCGCTTAGCGGAGTGAGCTGAAAAACAAGCAGTGTGCAAATTTTGCCCAGCTCTGATCTAGTATTATAATATGGAAAATGACATTTAAATTTTTTCTGCGTAAAATGAGAAAAGTACTCTATTGTAATTTGAGATATTAGATCTGTAGTACTATATTAGATTTACAACTTACATATTTATAATTTTTAATTTTCCTATATTTGCAAAATGCAGTGAAAAACTTTTTTTTATTTTATTGTTTTTATTCAATATATGTCTGAAAAGTATCTGAAGCGTATCTAAATACAGGGTGTGCCAACTAAATCCGGACAAAGTAAACAATGTTTTTATAAATTATTATTTAATAAATTATATGTATTTAACAAAAGTTTATTGGTCAAACGTACAAAATTACATAAGAACTTTTTTCCGTGTCATTTGTGGAAACGTCATAGACAAGAATTATTCAATGTAATTACCGCCGGCCGCAATGACTGCCTCGATCTTAGGCCTGAAGCGATCGCACGTTCTCTGTAACGCCCGCTTCTTCATATTTAAGAATGATGCTTCAATAGCGGCCTGGAGAGATGTTACATTAGGATGTCTCGACTTGTTAGTAACTCTTTTAATCACGCTCTACACGTAATAGTCCAACGAATTTAAATGTGGACTATCAGGAGGCCAAAATTCTTTGCTCCAAAACATGTCGACATTGTCCGACAGCCAGTTTTGGACCAAATGACTCGTGTAAACCATCCTATTAAAAAATGTACGGCTTCCCGGAGGCCACAGTGTCCATCCATGGCTTGATTACTGTTGTTAGAACGCGTAAATATATTTCCTTTGTGACGGTTTCTCCCTTATTAAACAAATGTAGCTGCATGATGTCACTCTCGCTGGAGACAACGCTTAGGACGTGAACACTGACTGGAAACTTCGTCCTAGCTACAACGGGGTCTTAGACAAGCCAACGGTCATTCCTGCGATTCATTTTTGCGCTGACAGTAAACATTTTCTTATTAAAAATAATCTGATGCGTTCTGCAACTTCGTTTTTTAACAAACACACCAGCAAGTTGCAAGCGAAAAACTCTCTTCATTCTAGCAGCCTTAGGCAGCATCTGTCGTACCTTTATGACGTATGACTTGTAACGTATGTCCATTTCGGCTATTCGGCGTATGATAGGCACTTCGGCTCATACCCAAAATTGTCGCCAATTTCCTGAGAGAATTCCCTTAGTGTTCTGCGATCAGCTCTTGGGCCCTTTGAACAACTTCCGGGGTCCTTGCGGAACTCTTCCTTGAATGGCTCTTCCTCCACGGGTTTGCGGAACCTTCTTCAGACTTCTCCGAAGCCTTATATTTAGCGGAAACTTCGTAAACTGTTGATCTCGGATATTTGAAGAACTCATTTCTTATTTCGGCCGGCGTACGTCCAGCGCGAAAATTTTAAATAATTGCAGCTCTTCGGTTATATTCCATGTTCGATCTTGACTGCTCAGCCATTTTAAGGTTATGTTCGTTCAAAACATTGTTTTAACTCACTGGGATACAAATATCAATTTAGCGCTGAAGTAAAATATGACGGAAGATTCAAATTGATATTTGTCCGGATTTAGCTGACGCACCTTGTAGTTACAGCGACTTTTCAGTATCTATATCTAGTTATTTTTTAAAATGTATATGTTATAACATTGAAAATGCAAATTTTGCAAAATGACAATTGTATATGTTGAATTTTCTGTTCCATTTAATATGTTCCGCCCGCACATCACGGCTGTATAACAAATTATCAAGTATTCTTTACATCATTGATTGATTATAATGTGACTACATTCATTGGTTACTGCGGGAGGAAGTATGTGAAAATAACGCGAAATTAATCTTAGCATTAAGCGTGTCATGTACGGTATAAAGACTGGCCAGCTGATTTACACGTTCAGTCACCATTTGTTAACACTTTAGCAAACACGTAAACTGAAGAACATCGTAATAAAATAAAAATTTATCCAATTACCAAAACTAACTGCTCTACTTAACTGAACACTTGCTTATAAAAAATGAGCTTTCAAAATGGGAAAAGAAAGATGTCCTTTTCACAGCGTGATTTTAATCTTGTTGCCTATTGACTGCGTTATCCTCTTCCAAAAATGCGATGTTCCACAAAATATGGGATATTATACCATCAATTCACGATATTTGGAAAGAAAATTCGTCTGCTAGTTGAGAGGCTACAACGATCGAGATGGGATAAAATACTGCACACTGACAGTGCACTTTAACACGACGGGAATTCGCACCGAATTGTTACACGAGTTCTTTATTCTCGAAATAATACACAAAAAGGGCTTACATTACGGTCTGCTATTGCTCAGTTCGAGCGAACATGCTATGTCTCCGTGTGAAGGCGGCTGGGACGAGGATGTTCATTGTACTTTGATATATTATAGCCAGGGTTGCCAGGAAGACGTGTTAGGTCTTTATTTCCCAGAGAGTGAATTGACTAGCCTCATATGAGGGAGCAGACTGTTCGAGAGAAAGATTAAGACTGAAGTCTGTTGGGCACAAAGTTCGGTGGGCGAATAGAATGACTGACGTTCTGAGCGTGCAGTTTTTATAGGCGTGAGGGACTAAGGCTGGGGAGTCGGAGCGGGACAGAATCACACTCGAGGACGAGTAACCGAAGTATTATCCGATGTCAAAGAGTTGGCCGTGGCGAATAACCCGAGAAATATTGAATGACAGTGATAAGACCATGCTGGTATCGAGTAATCTAAGAAATATTCAGTTAAAGAAGATTTGTTCGTTTTTGCTACATTAGAACTGCACTAGAACTGCACTGAATCTCACTGGGACAGACTAGCACAGAATAATTCTGTTCAGTGCAAAAATGAAATCTGGGATAAAAGAACGCCAGAGTGCAGTAAACAACATGGCGCTCATATGGTATTATTTGATTCACCTGATGAA